ACCTGCGAGTTTTTTAAATGGCTTCAAAAACGTTTGCATAATAAGTCAAATCTTTATATAAAAATCTTTATATAAAAATCTTTCTATAGTTTGCATAACAATGGTCTTTTTTTAAAGTGTTCTTTAGCTGGTATAAAGACGTATGCACGTGACTAATTTCTTACTCAAGATTGGATAATTGCTTCATGAATTATTAATGATTTTTGAAGTTAAAGTCATGTTTGTATCTGTGGCTAGTTCATGTAACATTTCAACACGAGGGTCCGATACCAATTTTATTTCTTTCAAATTCCGTTATTAGGCGTGACCCTCACTGACATCTAGCCAAGAGAACAGTTTAGAGATAACACAGCTTTCCAGTATAAATAGCTTTGATTGAATTTAAGTTTCCTCCTGCAGTGACGGCTTGACTGCCCTGATCAAGCCCGTTCAAGGGAGAGCACTTCAGCAGTTATCCAGTACAGTTTAATTTAAGGCTGGTTCAAAGTTTCTGTGATCACAGTAGGAATTTTGCATAGGTAAATTCTAAGTTTTCAAGGATTTGTAAGAAATGTTTGAGGCAAATGACGTGATCACAGAAACTTTGATAGTGTCAACAAGTCTTTAATATTAACAAAGTCTCGCGAACTTACTTCAGAGCACTCAGTGATGTTTTCTTTCTGTCGAGCTCTTCATCGCCTTCCTTTAATTTCTCAGCCGTTTTCTCTGCTCCAAAAATACTCTTGTTCGCTTCATTCACCTCCTCCACTAACCAGCTTGCCTCATCGTGATCGAGAGATTTAAAAATATTAGGGACAGCGGTCGGTGTTGCGGGCTCGTATTTGACGTCACTGATGGAAGTCCCTCGGTTATGACACTGGGCATTAGTTCCCAGTTCCCTTGCGGTTGGTTTGTTGTCAGTCTGTGTGTAGTGTTCAGCGGTTGTTCTGGACAATTGGTTGCGGGTCAGGGTATTAGAGTGTTCTGCTTTTCTACGTTTGGGCTTGGGTGTTAGCTCGTTGCGGGCTATGGGTTGTCTTTTGTTGCCTGCATTGATCTGGGTCAGCGGCCATTCCACTGGGAATAAGGCTGGTCGGTTGGACTGAGACTGACTTCCAATACTGCTCATTGCTCAAACCTGTGGGATAATATGAAATTATGACTGCTCGATTATGAAGACGCCAACAGTGGTCGCCCAACTGTGGTTCAATTCCTGCAATTATTATGTCATTTTGGTTAGATTGCAGAATACCCGTCCACTTTGACATATTACACCTATTAATTCCTTGTAAACATGGCGAAATCAGAAAAGAATGTCAATTTTAAATGCTTCGTTCTTTAAAGACTCCGGCATTGAATTTGAGAAGACTACATACTCTAGGTGCTCCTGCATGTTTCTATAAGAGAAGAGTTTAGAACTGGAAATGCTATCCAGTATAACAGAATGTCCCTTACCGAACCACAAGGGAAAATTGTTAGAATGGAACTGGTATAAATACAGTTAGTTTAAGCTATTTCACTATTTATACTATACACATTACATTTTACGTCAAGACGAACATTATAGCACTGTTACGCAGATATCAACTATAGTTCCTAACCATTGTGCGAGCCAGGGGGACTCTGTGTCTGTCACTTTAATGCAGGCATTAAAATACGGAATTTTTACAAGGACACACTTTTACAAGGACACACCTTCAGAGGCGTATTTTTGGTATAAATTAATGCGCAGACTCACGAGAACGAGTGGCGAAGCCAGTACAAGTTTAGCGGCATCGAAGACGCGAGCTTTTAAGGGGTCTCTGAAATGGCATTTCCAGAGTTCTGAGAACAGAATTTGCAAAATCTTTCGCCATTTTGCGTGGATTACATTAATATATTTTTAGTTTAATATATTTTCAAGTACACACTTTTCAATTTACAAGGGCACATTCGCCTTTTACAAGGACACAAAGTGTGTACAAGGACACGCTATTTTAATGCCTGCTTTAATGCCATTGCTAATTTTCTCATAACACGTATACTAACTTCCCATAAAAAGTGACTCATATTTATACTATAGTTTTCGCTTGCGTACATGCTACTTATTCATCTCGGAAATTGTACGTAATCATTTTTTATTCAATTTGGATTCTCTCCAACTTTTACTCAATCCTCGCCCAAGATCGTAAAAGAATTGAAGATATATATGTTCATAATTTGTTAAATATTTACGTCTTCTCATATAGAAGCACTGCAAACAATAAGCCCTCGAGATCAATTGGTAAAAACCTGTTCAGGCTTTCCGTGAGAATGCCTATTGAAAAAAGCTTCGCAGTATATTTAATCGTAAGCTCTTTGTTTGATATCCTTGGGCCCTTGGCCTTGTAAGATCGAGAACGTTTTTGACGTGCTTCGCTATTCTATACAATACACATGCACGCATTTTCTTGAGAAAGGAATCTGCTCATGGAGAGTCACTATATCACTCGTTGGTCATTGAGGTTACTACTATAAAAGATAAAAATTTCATCGTATGAAGTTGCTGCTTGTGAAACTTTCTACGAACTTAATTACTAGTCTTTCAGAGTTTTGTCTTTTTTACTAACTTTACACAATCAACTACTCAGATTATACATTATATTTATTGTCATTTACACAGGGTGTGGTCGTCCAATGTGTCCGAGGCTCACACTGCAAAAAAAACCCGAGTACTTTTGACTCAAAATTCAATAAAATAATGCACCCACATGACTAAAACTATCGAGTAAAATTAAAACTTTGCCCATACCGGATAGTGGCAGTAGCAGAAGTAACTCTTTAAAACTTGCATTCGTGTTATAAACAACAAGAAAAACGATATTTAGTACAACACAAACTTTATATCGACACCACAAATTATTTTCTCGCAGAGTTGTGATCTGGACCTCGTACGGTAGCTTATATGAGAGCGCAAAGTATTCTGATAAAGTATTTATAGAACGTTGCGGAAACAAAATGGGATATATTTGTACTAAAGTACTTAATTGAATGAATGCCGGCGTCAGACATGACGGTACTGACAAGTCAGAAAGTATCGAAAGATTTGTAAGAAATGTTTGAGGAAACTGACTCAGTATTTAGCCTTTATAGACCGCACCACAATTTTTCTCGTAGATTTGCCAATCTGGACCGGCCTGCTATATAGCTTATAGTAGCACGGAGTAATTTGATCATATACAACGTTACGGAAGTTTTTGCGTATGTACTTAACAGAGAAGACTCTTATACAGTGTTCAATAAACAAACTATAGCTATGTACACAATACTACGTGAATACAATGGCATAATAATGTGTGACGGCTCGTTTTAATTTAGTTTGATTCAAAAATGTAAACTGAATCGATACAGCATTTAATTTGGTACAACGTTTCTAGAATCTTCAGTTTGGATAGCTCTACTATATGATCACTGACTTCTAAACTGTTCTTCCTATAGGTAAGGATCATCCATTATTTTAAGTCCAGTGTTACAAAACTAAACCTGCGCTTTTTGTTTAAACTTGAAACGCTCAGAAAATAGCATTAACACTGTATATATACTGCAGGAGTAGAACCTTGGTTACAGAAAGGCAGCTAAGCTACTCACTATGCTATAAATACTAAATTGTATGACGACGCTAGAGGCGAGGCTATAAAAGGGGTGCATTTCAGATAATTGCTACTTGAATACCACGTGTAAATGACGAACGCAAATTGAAGCACTTGTGGAAAGTAGTGCGGAATTTGATAAAGCACTCTTTCATGGAGTTTGTGGTTGGATCGATGGAGCATTACGGCTTTAAGGCCGTTTTCCACTAGGCGAATTTATTCGCGCGAACAGATAAAAAGTAGGAAGCGATCCTACTTTTTCGCCGCGAATTTTTTCGCCGACCAATCACGTTGCCGGATTTCGGTTTTCGCTTCGCGTCGCGCGAAAAAATTCGCCTAGTGGAAAACGGCCTTTAGAGGCATTTAAACATTGTTATTCAAATGTAGGAGACATGATGACGAACTCATTGTATCGTCTTTGCTGTGGCCTGTGATCACTTCAAAGCTCACCGTAATGTGTCAATTACATGCATAATTGAATCACCAAGCTAACCTGAAACAATATTGGATAACTCTTAACTAAACTTATAAAACTATAAGTACTGGATGAAGATATTTTTATCGGTTTATCAATCGATTATCGAACGCGTGCTTCTAACTGATAGCCAGGGACACAAAATCGAGACCAATCCAATTTAAGTTTATATTGACACAACAGTTAACACTATACATAATTGCATTTTTCTAAGAATCTATTTGATTATACATATTCGAAACATGATTGATAGCTATTCTAACTCAGGATCAAGATAACAACGACCTGGTTGGCGAGGTAGCCTCGTCCCCGCCCTTGTAAAAAGCTGCTACACTGGGGAAGGTTTTTCGAAAGCTGGTTAGCTTCAGTCCTATGGATCCATATTAAGGGGGCTTCGGTAGCCCACTCGTCAGAGCACGCGCCTTTCACGTCTGAGATCGTGGGTGGACTCATGTGAAAAGAAGAAAAGAGTCTGTCAACGCTCTGCCGAAAGTCGTGGGTTTTCTCCGGGTGCTCCGGTTTCCTCCCACAGGGAAAGTTGACAGAGTGGGTTAGGATAAACACAGTTAAGAAAGTAATATCACAATTGTTGTAAAGATAAATAGTCTAAACTTAGTAGGTAATACAAGTAAGCGTAATACTTGATGTAATCTGTCACTGAAAATGAATCATCGTGATCAATATCAGGATCTTGATACGATATGACTCGTTTACACTCGAAATTTTCATCGACAAAAACCTTTAACCATTCCTAGTTTACCAAAACCCGTCAAAGCTGTCGTCACCGAACAGTGTGTTTCTAAACATGGAAATATTTCCCCCACAATCTTGTCTGGATCAAAAAAAGATTTTTTTCTGAAGTTTTGAAGTAAAAGGACGTGAAAATAAACGATATCAATGTTGAAAAATCACGATGCAGTGGATAGCGTTATCCAGCCTAATTCGTACAAACAACCCCAGAAGGTTAAATTTGAACCGCGAGTTAGAACTGATCCAGCTTTGAACAACTGGCCCCTGATCTGTGGGTACCAATTTCATTATTTCTGTTCCTCAAAGCCAAAGGCATAATACAATACAATACAATAATCTTTAATTGTTTTTGTTTGTGGAAACACCACGTAAATTTATTACTGCAAAGCTTTCGATCCGTAAGCCCGGATCTTCATCAGTGCTAATAATAGTGTATAATAAGCACTGATGAAGATCCGGGCTTACGGATCGAAAGCTTTGCAGTATAATAAATTTACGTGGTGTTTCCACAAACAAAAACAATTATATTTTATCGCCATGCAAACATTCAAAGAACTTACAATAAACTTTATTTAACGAGGGTAACACCAATTACAAACGTATTCTCACTAGTGGCCTTTACTCTTTGTATGTCTACTTGTATACTCATGTCTTGAACGTTTTTACAGTACATATATTTTACCCCAAAGGAAACTTTAGTTATACACCCGCTGATCCCCCGCCCTTCAATATGACGGCACTTGTATTCCGGCACTTGTATTCCGGCAGCAGGGTGGTGCATAGATCCAATATATTTTCCGATATGAAAGAACTTCTATTTTCCGACATTTTCTCAAAATTTCAGTGAGGAATGGCTGCGGTTCGATTTTCTTTTAGATGCTATACCTTCTTACCACTGAGCCAAACAAATCTTTATTTATACTGGATAGCTCTATCAGTTCTGAACTGTTCTCCCTAGAGGTCCAGTATATAAGGATTATCTCTTAGTTATTGTTCCTGCATGATAAAAATAGAGGAAAATTGAGCCCCCAGAGCCTTATACAATCAACAAAATACCGTAGAAAACATATAAGAAAGATATAGAAGAACCAAGGATTATGTCTTTAATGCTTTTTCCCCATTGTCGGAAAATTAGATTTAAGAAAAATATTGCATCGCCAACTATTGCCGGTCTTATGTCAATCCTGCTATCCAGCGGAAGCTCCCTGAAATGCGTAACGTGCAATGTTTTGAAATGACCAAATGGGAATAAATGAGCCAGTTCTATTAGAAGCACATAAGTGTTTCGCCTATGGGTTAAACTTTTAATTTAGACGCTCGAATAGTCGTTATTGTTTATAAAAAACGAGCTATATTGGTGCCAGTGTAATATCGGTCTCCCTCTCTTGATGTCTTTCAAGGGCCCATATCCGTTAGAAACAAGTCTAGAATTATGGTCTAAAATTAAGTTATTATCGTTTTGAAATGGACAAAAGATTCGCTCCAAAAGCAATATCATAATCGCTGTTTTAATTGTCGTATATGAGGTTCAAGGTAAACTTATTATTTAATTACTTTGTTTTGTGTACAAAACATCACGTCTCTTAAGCTTATTTCGGAAAGCTTTTGATGGCCGATATATTAATTAATCATCATTTCATTTCTCAGTATTGATAACCATGCGAACTTATAAAGAACTTTAGCCTCTACTGAGTGCAAACATAATGTCCAGTTCTCAATTTCTTATAGAAATCTTGCTATATATGCTTTATGCCTCAAGGCCACGTTTTCATTCATCGCGAAACTAACTTTCAAGCTCAATGCGAGTGCTTGCGATTGGAAAGAAACAAACAAACAAACTTCACTCAAACTACCAATATACTAGAACATGAATACAAAATATATTAAATGTATTAAATTGGACGAAAGTACTCGCAACTCGCTGTTTTTGATTAGTGAAAAAGAGCTCTTCAGTTCCACTGCTCTTTAATGCACTCATCACAAGAGTCAACACATTCAATCACAATGTTTGACAGTTTATGTTAATCAACGAGTTGATTCTTTCGATGAGTGAAGCAAGAGCCTTTATAGTTAATATTTCAAATGCGCATGCCACACTATGTTACTTCTTACATGAAGTACAGTTCGTATGTTTCTAGCGGTTTATAGTGTAACTCAATAATGGGCGTGAGTACCAAAACTGAATGAAATATAGAATGAGAGTTACGACCGATTGTAATATATTGATGGTATGGACTATGGTATTTTGATGTATTCTATTGCAAATATGCGCTCATATACGCCGTGAAAATTTCCTTGCGTTGCATTCATCCCGAACTGAAGCAAAACTTGCACTATTGATGGTCATGCATGACTCACTATAGTGATGACTGCATGCATGGCATTTGAAGATTAAGGATTTAATACGTCTTCGTTTTGTTCACTTTTTACTATAGTGTTGTAACAATTAAAGCATCTTCGCTTTATAAGAGTATTATAAGATTATACAGGTTATATTCAGTCTAAACCTATGTATTTGCAAGTTTGTTTTAGGCCCACTTTAAGATTCCCTGCAAGTAACTTCAAAAGGAAAATGTTTTCTACATACAATCACACTGGCATTTAAACATTGATATTCACTCCTTTGTGCGCGTCGCTTGCGCATTCATGCGTATTGTGCCCGCCCTAATAGATGAATTTTATATATCTCTCTTTAAAAAAAAAAACTTCTTTAAAAATCCAAAAGCTTTTCCGTAAATGTAGCAATGCTCTCTAACAGTTAAATCGAAGTACTTTGGAACTTGGGATAAATTGAAGCTTGCGTGCGCTATTTAGAAATCAGCTTCAAGTATATATCCGTAGCCTGCTGTGTTATATCAAATCAAGAATGAAATTCCAAACAAACAAATACAAGTCAAACGGTACTTGATTGCATTCAGTATTTGTTTCATTAATGTGTTTGCACGCACTAGAACTCTCTCCGCCTTCACTCCGCAAAGCTCCACCGGAATTGGATGAAACGGCGTTTATAATTAAAATTCCATTAGCTAGTGAGGCATTTAAATTTGATAGCGAGGAATTTGCATCGGGGTGTAACAACCCTGTATGTGCATTGCTCGAACAAGAATCTAATTTTCACCAGTCTGTTGCATTTGTCCGATACACTATAGATAAGTTTCAGTCAAACGCAGTGAGATGGTTGTCAGGCTCACAAATGTCGACACTTCTACATAAGAGCATGCAAATTAAACTACAAGCTCTCAATTCCATCTGTTTGCCACAAAACACGAGACTATTACATATAGAATGAAAAGAATCAACTAGAACATTATTTTCTCACCGTCTGGTATAATTGCAGGTTAATTACCATCTACTGCATGACATCGCTTGGTAAAACCACATATATTTACGCTATTTTGTATACTAATGAAGATATTCTAGAAAGTTACTGAACCATTCATTTAAGCCACAATTGCCAACTATACACCTTCATTAACCCTGCAGTGTAGAATTAGACACTTGAAGCTTGCACGCTTTTATATCTTCGCATGTGTCCCTCATTTTTTAGTTGATACACATTCATTTTTACAAGATATTTGAATGGTAACTAGACAAACATATAGTGGAATTCGAAGAAGCTTCACTGATATTGTACTATGTTCTCGTAGATACTAGAATTGGTCAAGCAGGGTTTGATTTATCTTATTGAAAGCTGGATTGGTTAGCTAGATGAATGCATGAATGCATGCATGGTACATTTTGCAACGGTTAAAGTCACTGTGGTATCATTTGAAGCATATATATATATGGTTAAAAAGCACTTTCGTATATCGTTTTACCGTAGTATGGTAATTCAGAATGTTTGCAAATGTTATGCATGAATTTACACATATTTGAAGTATGGATTACAGATTATTATAAGTCCTCTGCTTCTACTAGTTAAACACATATACCATTTTTTACTAATGCAGTACACCACGTGTAGTAACACTTTGTGTAGGTTGATCTGTGAGTCTAGCCCCACTTAATCTGATTTAGCAACTTAAATATCTCCGCAACTGACAACTGTGTTAGTCCAGATTTGCATATTAGATATAAACATGTCTTTTATTACAACCAGTACATCAATATTGTACTGTACATTTGTATAAATCATGCAGTAATATCTCACGTAAAAACTAGTCTGGCAAATTATTTAGGATTTGCAAATGCAATCAAATATAACACAATTACATCATTTAATAATGAACATCATATAAAACAACCATAAAAGGTACCTACCTTACACGGTGTTAAATCAACTGGACTTGGTTCCAAGACTGCCTAGACATGCAACTCAAGCAGGTCTTTCTTTGATGGTTGACAAGTCGAAATCATGCCACAACATAATAGTTACCCCAGTTAAGTAATTACCCTGCGTTTGTTTTGAGCTTCGTCTGCTTGAATACTAACCACACAATTCTGACTCCTGATTGGTCAGCTAGTGCATGACAGGTGACCAATGGTATGCTAGCAAATTGTTTGTGTCACATGCAGGCCCTCAGATAAACAGCCGCAATTGTTGTATGCATGAATGCATGGATGCATCTTCAAACACCCGCTTTTAAACCGCACGAGTGATTTTATATACTTCTAATGTGCGTGGGGCATTTAAATATCAAAATATTTCCAAAGACTCCTATCATATTTTTATGCTAGTTTGTCTATCTAGCTTTTTCATAAAGTTTCGTAATGGCATATATACAACATCACTTTGTAGGAACTTATTATCATACAGATTGTGTACTTGAGTAGCTATAGGAAAATATTGTACAAAATTTTCCCTTTTAATCCCCCCCCTAGCAAATGCCAGCTTTATAGACTGAGTTGAATTAAATGTTTCGTATGATGCTATTACATGGTGGTAAACTTCAAATTTGTTGACTATTTATGGTGGTGAGCAAATGATGCAATAATATTTCAATCACGTGTATTTGCAAACACAAGATCAATATAGTGAACAATTTATAGTCACTCTGAGAACTGTCTTTACAGTTTACAATTGACCACCGTGTACTGTTCCAATAACTATAACCCACCAACACAAACCAACTAGTAAAACGTATTAAATTGTCAAGCCAGAAATGTTTAAAGTGAGCTTAAGTTTGTTTGGTTAAGAAAGTTAAAAAATGTAGATTAATTTCCTGCTGTACTTCATGTTTTGGATATTGACAGAGTATGGGAAGAAATTAGCGTTCAGTGTTTTATTTGTGGTTAGCACCGTGCGTCTTTCATCTCTGTCACCCAGGAGTTCAATTCCTGTGACACGCAATTGTGCCTAAAGGGGATGGACTAGAGGGAGGTTTTCAAGATGGCCGACAGTTTTGAAGATCATTAAAACGTAAAAGAATGAACAAGCTGCTACTTGCAACAATACTAAACCTTACCCCTCACCCCACATCTAACCCTAATACTAACGCAAACTCTTATTATTTCAATTTTGGAACCATCTCGTAAACTACCTCTCGTTCATCCCTTTTAAACATTACTATATGCGGTTGTCTGATTATAATTTTATCTCAGTCACATGTGAGAGAAGAGTGCTTCCAGTTTGACTCTACCAAACACCACAGGTTTTCTCCTGCCTTCATCCTTGCTAAATATGGAATTCATTAGAAATACTTGTACTGTATTCATAGAGGTTTCTCCTGTAATAGAACTGGAGCAATAAGGAGTGACCATATTACTGGATCTTTCGGGAGAACAGTTTAGAACTAATTGAGCTACACAATTTGCAGGAGAGGTAAAAATTACGTATACCGGCTTGAAAGTCCCTTAATGAAGATATAAAGCATCTCAACGGCAGGAAGTCTAAGATATTATGATCTCAACTCAAAGAGCTTTGTAGTTTGTACGCTTGCGAAATCTCCGTCATGCAGTGACTAATATAGCCTGACATGATCGATAATGTCACAATTAAAACATTCCGGAACAATTGTGGTTAAATTTGCATGCAATGACGTTAAATTTGTATGCAATGACAAGGCTTTATGTTGGTCTAGATCTTTTTGCGCATCTGCAAATACCTAAAACGTCGGCAATTTTCTGCAGGCAATTTTCGTCACATTGGTTCATGTGCCTTTCACATGTGTTCCGCAATTGATTTTGCATTCTGATACCTGGTCAAATTTTCCTCAGTGAAATGGATCCGAGCTTATGGATTTGGATCCATGTTAATGCACGAAGATCAAAGCTATACAAGGAACATTTGAAATGATCTCGAAGCAGGCTGTGTTTCTCGTAGCATGCTATGACAAAAAAACAAAGCTGAGTGTTCGAGCAACGCCGCTTGGTCCAAAGGTTGCTTTTGATCATTTCGTACTGATTGTCTCGTTGATTCGCCATTCAATTGTTGCATTCCTCGTTGCTGCCATGCTGTGAGACAATTTAGTGCTAGCCCATCCCTGGCTGGTGTTTAGAATATATAAATCTTTGTTAAAAATAGATCATTGAACTAGACTAGCCTGTATTCTAAAAGCTCACACTCAATGAGTGGAGATTCAATCTGAGCTTCTGTTGAGTGTCAATGCTGTTTTTGAATAGCTGGAGGGTGAGTAGTCACATAGTAAGGTACGACACTAACCCTCCAGCTGTTCAAAAACAGCATTGATACTGGCCGGAGAGAATCTCAGATTGAACTTCCACTCATTGAGTGTGTGTGAGCTTTTGTGAGAGTTGCCAGTCATGCATTGTTACAGGGAACATTTGAAGCTCTAGATTAACAAAATAAAGGTTTGTTGAGTGTTCCAACTATGTTTTAACATAAATGATTTAAATACATGATAGTGTTAGGGAAGCATTAAGATTTAAGAACAGCTAACCAAGGTCGTATGACATCCTCCTTTGATCCGGGATAGTTATTTTGTTTCTAATGGATAGTTGTATCAGCTCTAAACTGTGCAGTAAGATCATTCCTTATTGATGCAGTCAGTCAACAACATGAGGAGAAAATCTGCAGTGTTTGGTAAGTCCAACAGGAAACACGGTATATTCCAGGAATCAAACCCAAACATTCTAATTGTCCCCATGATCATCATGGCTATGGAATTCTGTATTCCTATATAGACTATTTTGTATACGTCTCTTAGGTTGACCATCGGTGTCGCTGGATTTCGTCTGTGATTTAATCTTGAACTGCGTGTGCCAGTGTAGGTAGTGCCAATATTAAATAACAATCTTTCGTTGCTAGGGATGCAGTTACCTGAAACTATCCCCTATCATCCCTCCCAACAAAAGCTTGTTATTTTATGTAAGCCCACCATAACAATCATTTCACCTTTCAGATTTGACTTCCACTACCTAGATGTGCGATAAGGGACCATTAACCAATCAGATACGTTTGATATATCCGATTAACCAATCAGATGCGTGCTGGAAGCCAGTGGGAGGTAGTGGTAGTGGAAGTCAAATAGTGAACCTCCCTAATCTTTCCGGTTCAGCACTTCCTACTAGTTAGGACTCATTTTCCTTGATGTCCCCACCACCAAGGCCCTTGGCTACCTAGCGCCTACTGTGGTGACACTGGATCAATAAGAGGTGATCCTTACTGGACCTTTAGGAAGAACAGTTCAGAACTGATGGAGCTATCCAGTATAAATAAAGTTAGTTTAGTTTAGGTTTCCTCCTGTAGTAACACTGGATCAATAAGAGGTGGTCCTTACTGGACTTCTAGGAAGAACAGTTCAGAACTGATAGAGCTATCCAGTATAAATAAAGTTAGTTTAGTTTAGGTTTCCTCCTGTAGTAACACTGGATCAATAAGGGACGACCCTTACTGGACCTCTAGGAAGAACAGTTTAAACTGATAGAGCTATCCAGTATAAATAAATAAAGTTAGTTTATCTAGTTATCCTATGCATATTAATCGCTGAACATTTCATCACTGTATGTCTTGTACAATGTGAGTTGAAAGATTTGAGAAAGCACATGGTTTATTTAGTGATCCCACCCAGATAAAATGGTGAAATCAGTAAATAAACTTTTGTATTTTCTCACTGACATCATCTTCTACACAGCAATATTTGCACGCAACAACTTGTCGGAGAAGAACAGCAAGTATCCATTCCAAGCTCTGTTTCTAACCAAGGAATACGAGACTTTAAGAGAGTCTGATCTATATCACAATCAAATTCAAAGTGTGATGTTCAATTTCTTGCCATATTTCTAAGATAAACGACGATTCCACCACAGACAGCGCCTGTATTATGATAAAGCAAAGGATTATCGGATATATATCGGATATAGATACAGAGTGGTTAATCAATATATTGCTGATATCTGCAATACGCAGTTGTGTCAGTGAAGATGCGAGAACCGACACTGCTTTCATTATCAAATTCAGCAGAATTTCGATACAGCTACCTGAAAATAGAAGCTGCCATTCGTGGAAAGTTAGTAGTGAAGGCGGGAAAATGAAAGAAACTATTACTCACTAGAACTGTGTGAAGAGTCCTGACACAGTTGAGTCAGGAGACATGCATGCATCGTTCAAAATACTTGATCGGCTTAGCGTTGCGGAGGATGAATCAACAACCTCGTCCTGCTGTGTTTGTTGTGTATTGATGAAGATATAAAGCATTGCACAAGAATATGATTTTTACCATGCAAACCTAAGGAACTTGAAACGTTTGCAATTAAATATTACATGCAGTATACCATGGAATATCTTTGGTCGGGCAACGGGGGAACAGTATGCAGTATCGATTCATCTATTTATGCACATAGTTTAAGGACTCCGCAAATTTGCTGTAACGCAACTACAGACAATCGTGTTCATAGATGCATCAGTCTATCGTATCTAAAATGTTTATAATATATACAATGCATTGCTATTTAAGTGAAGCTGAGTCTATAAATATGAAGACGAAGGGTATTTGTATTAATTATTTCATTACCATACAATGGTTTTAGCACTCCGTTGTACAAAACAGTTTATTAGTGCCTTGGTCTTATACACACTTATACACAAGATTCTGTTTTATGAAACCAGTATTTAAAGCTAGGAACTGAACATTTTGCCTATCTTCAATGCAGCTTATATTGACTATCACTTTTTTGGGGGTAATTCATATTCATGTCAAATGCACCCATTACGTAACGACCAAATATCATATATTCTCTGACAAATTTACCTTTAAAAGCATTGATTCCAACTCTTCTCGTCCCCCAATCAAACATTATTAGTTGTAGTCAGAAAAGTGTGTCGAAATATCTTGGAAAAGCTGCCGTATATTCTTGTGCTTCACTCTGCTTGCCTGCAGTCGTTTGTTTCATGGTTCGTTGTCTATGGCCTTATTATAAGGAGAATATTTAATTAACAAGAATTCCTTCTGATCAGTGAAGAATAAAAGAATTATCATTAGCATTTGGCATGTTCAAATGTGGCTCTTATATGTGATGGTTTCTGTTGACAGCACCTAATGTAAAAAGATCTTGCTCTTAAGACTATGAACTAACTGGATAGCCTTATCAGTTCTAAACTGTCAGTCTACCTATAAAGCTCTTGTTTAATTTAATCAGGAAACCTAAATTAACAAAATTAACTTTATTTATACTGGATAGCTCTATCAGTTCTAAACTCTTCTTCCTAGAGGTCCAGTATTAAGGATCATGTCTTATTGATCCAGTGTTACTACAGAAGGAAACCTAAACTAAACTAACTTTATTTATACTGGATAGCTCTATCAGTTCTAAACTCTTCTTCATAGAGGTCCAGTATTAAGGATCATCTCTTATTGATCCAGTGTTACTGCAGAAGGAAACCTAAACTAAACTAACTTTATTTATACTGGATAGCTCTATTCGTTCGAAACTGTTCTTCCTAGAGGTCCAGAAAGGATCATCTCTTATTGTTCCATTGTTACTACAGAAGGAAACCTAAACTAAACTAACTTTATTTATACTGGATAGCTCTATCAGTTCTAAACTGTTCTTCCTAGAGGTCCAGTAAGGATCATCTCTTATTGTTCCAGTGTTACTACAGAAGGAAACTGAACCTAAACTAACTTTATTTATACTGGATAGCTCTATTAGTTTTATCTTATACTGGATAGTTCTATCAGTTCTAAACTGTTCTCCCTAGAGGTCTAGTACAAGGGTCATCTCTTATTGATCCAGTGTTTCAATCAGATTACACTTAACATTATTTACACTGGATAGCTCCATCAGTTCTAAACTGTTCTCCCTCGAACTCCTGGAGGATGTTTTGTCATATTTGCTTTCACATTCATTGTTACCAGAAGCCCCTTCGCGCCTCGATGGGTGGTGTGCATAGAGTGTACTTCCAAATCGTTTGGTATCGCAAATTCGTCATGACAGATGACAGTAGTAGTTGTATCATTAAAACGGCCACTTTGAGAACAAACTTATTTAATTTTTTTTAGTTGGGCTAGTATTCCACAGGTCGTAGGTTCGATTCCCACCGTGACCAGGCATATTTTTTAAAGCTTGCCCGGTATGGATATACACTCGGAGTCCAGGCCTCGAATTTCCCTGAAATCAATCGACGGCAATGGCGTTAAAAATTGCCGCAGAACGTAACAGCTGTCTACGGCAATTTTGGCAGTTTCTACGGCATTTTTCAAATTACTGTAATAAAACTTTAGTTTTATTGTTACTTGGGATTTTCGACAAGCTAGAAACATGTCTACGTATTTCTTTAGTGTTTCAGTTTTTTTTCGAAGAAAACTGACTAAAATAGTGATTTACGCATGATTTGATCAACATCTGAATTCAAGTATCAAACTAGTAATGCACAGTGATTAGTAGGCTATAAAAATTACACTATACGGCAAAAAATTTCCGTCGTTGCCAGAATGATCCACGGCATTTTGTTCTCCCTCTACGGCAATTGCCGCGATAAAATTCGACCCTGACTCGGACTAACATCACAAACATCAAACTCATTTAATTTATTTCACATTGATTACCATCAGCACCATCACCATCCACGAGATTGTCACAATCGGATTGATATACAGGAGCAGGATATTATTGCGCGTCTTAACTTTTTATGAGACGTATTCTTCATCAATATATGCAGTACTAAAATTTCCTGCAGTTATACGCTTGGCAACTTTCTGAAAATATTGGTCCAGTTATCATATAGATCTCACTTGCAGAAACCGTGCGGAGGACTAGGACGGGGGCTATTATGCAGTGATCAGATGTGGGAAGAGGTCATTTCGCTGGCCTCAGAGTGACAAAACATAACAAATCAACGGTTTTACTAACACCAACCCTATTCCAAACACCAACTCTAACCTAACCATAGAACCTAACCATAGAATTTAACCATACTCCAAGTTTGTTTCTAAACTAATCCGTTGAAGAAAAACGTTTTGACGGAATGTCATTCTGACCTCAGAATTTCTGAGGTCAGCGAAATTAACTTCTTCCTCAGAGGTTGATATTCGCGAATTACGGTCGACTGCTCACAGGTAACTACGTGTGATCGAGGCTTCTTATTAAATTGCAATGTTTGCTCGGAAACGGTTTTACTGCGATAGTTTCGTGTAATAATTTCATGTTTGAATGCAAAAGAGATGTAGTTTCATTTTCTTGCACCTAAACGTGACAACCTTTCCGAAATTGACCAGCATCTGCTGGTTGACCACGTGTTGTAACCCAGCAAGATCTATTTTCTCACAATGATGTTTATGCCAAACATTAGTCAGTATATTTAGAATGCGTAGTTTACATTCGCATTAAATCAAAGATGAAAGCATTGGCTTGATGTTTCCTGTCTTTTGTTCCATGTAAAGACCACAAGACAATATCTATCATTGTTATTCAAAATTTTTGATTACCATTCTTGCGCATGGTTGATTTTAGCCGCTTCAGCGCAGCTACGGAATTCCGATCACCAACGAGCAGTCCAATACATCAAATTGACTTGTTTTCAACTTTCATGCTTTTATCGATGCATCATCATTTAATACTCAGGTAGTTCGTCAGGGACTCTGATCTTCCTCTAAGCACGCGCTATTAGGGAAGGGGGACGATGAGGGGGGAGCTGGTGAACTAATACTGTATCCGCCTTGGAAGAACAGATTAGAATTGACAATGATTAAGCTATCCAGTTTTAATAAAGTTGGTTAGTTTACTAGGAACTAGAGTGCTTTTTGATCTATGTTTTGAGAGAGCTGTAGATGCGTTGGCTATGTTTATTAAATTAATTAGGCAGAAATTACGGCCGCCGACTTGACAATAGATGGACGGTATACTACAAATGAACTGTCAAAAATGAAATGACTGATGATGAACAATTACAGGGCAACGACGTGAAACGAAGCGTTGCATGCAAGTTCTAGTAGCGTCGGGTATGGTGCAGACACAATGCAAACATTGCTGAGAATTAATAAATAATACGGCCAATATAAACTTTAGGAGTAATCCACTTTGCAGATGAGAAAGTTTTGGCAAATAAGTAAACCAAACAAAACAATTATATGACATTGCCACGCAAACCTACATTGGGGTCATGAAGGGGAGAGGGGGTCAATCCTATTTCTCAGCCAATGACTATAAAGCCTCGTGATTCAGACGTTAAGTTTTAATTAACTGATCTCACATATACTCGAAAACGAGGATCTCTAGCCAAATTGACGTACTTAGGAAGTGTATTCTCGCCGTGAAAAAATCGCGTCATATCGCTAGTGCAAATCCAAGTCCCAGTGGTCTAAATCTGGAAAATATTCCCAGTGAAAGATGAAGCAAAGACCAGCTCTCTCTAGATATGTAATACTTCTGATACTTAGATAAATTATGGTAAATAGATACGTAGATAAACGAATTTTTGCTGAAACGGCAAACAAAAGGCCCGACAAACTAACACTGCAAAAAATCCCTGGGTATATTTTGACGCAAAACTTGAGTAAAATAACGCACCCACTGTGATTCAAAATTTTGAGTAAAATTACTCATATTCAGATGGGCAAATTTAGTATTATTTACTCATTTTTGTAGGAAAGATTTAAATTTGAATAATTTTACATAATATTTTGAGTCATTATATGTGGGTGCATTTTTTGCAATATTTTGAGTGATTTTTTTTCAGTGAATAACTGAAAGACGCGAGCAACAAAACACGAAACAAACAATTAAAACCCGACAGGCAAACAAGCAAAGAGGCACGCCTAGGGCTTGTATATTATTGCAATGAAATAGAAACCTGTACATAAGGACATAGTATAACTAACTAGTATATATATTGCGTTGATGTTTTAACAAACTTTAATCAAATGTAACTATATTCTAACCCTTAGTTTATTATCTTTGTTATTTATATTACCATAAAATAATTTTGGCAAGCAACGCCCCCCCCCCGGAAAAATTCCTAATACAGTATAATGTTATTTGATCTGTTTGCGCTCTTTATGCATGTGTGATCACGCGCGTCATTCCTGATTCGCTTGGTCTGCCTGTTTCGCTATAACATGGCGTTGGTTTGCTTTTCAGAATATTTCCCGATTTAATCCTTTCAAAGGTATGTTTTATACAACATTTTGTACTTTAATACATGTAACAACATTGAATAGAATAACAACATGAAAAAGATGCAAAAATGGACATGAATTTATCGCGATATGGTACGATAGCTTTATGTCAATGTTTGCGCACCGGGGTGTAACGTGTCTGCACAACTAAAAGATGTTCGATAATTTTCTCATAAAATACATATAGTTCTAGTGGTTTTAACTGTTCAATTCAAGAACTGTCATCTTTAAGCGGGTACTAACTTGCATATTAGTCTATTCCTACGGCAAATCTTTATCCAACGCATGAATGATTTTAATATTGTAATATTTGGTTTCATTTTGTCGAATGTAGTTGTGGTGCTCAGTCACTCAGGACACCAATATGTGTTTGCTGGAAACTTTAATCCACTATACCCCTATACACCATGTATAAAGAACAATTACGACAAAACCTGTTTTCCAAACTATATTTGTACGGCACATTTTTATTTTTATTATACACGCATATTTCCTTGACATTTTGTCACATGATAATAGTCCATCTTCATTGTACTCGACTACACGTGGTGTATTTTAAGATTTGCTAATACAAGCCGTCTCCCTTCGTAACGCATAGTCGCATTAGTAACTTATCTCGTGTTGTAAAAAGTAAAAAAAAGTGAGCGAATAAACTGAAATGGGCGAGCTTGAACACCCAAGCGCAGCGAGGCTACAATCCGCGCTTCCTGCAGCTAAATAAATACGAGTTGACTTGTAGCAAGTTTAGGTGTGTATATAAAGAACTTCAAATCCTGTTTTCCACTTAGTCATATTAACCGTCGCAGCCATGTTCGACATGGGTCTCTTGTACATTCTACTATTGTTTTATGCCTATAGTTATTTTTCTCAAACTGTGTGACAGTTTCAGACCCAGCTAAAGGGTTTGGGTATATTGGTATTTTATTGACCATTTTACTGTTGGTATGCAGTGTTTTATTGTTGAAATAAGTTGAAATATGGGTATAACGTATCCTATACATTTACCCTACTGTCCTACACTATAAGTACTCTGACTGGTATATTAAGGCATGTTGGTATAACCCACATGGCTAGACCTGCACGAGTTTGATTTTAATTAAACCTCTTTCAAAGTAACAATTTTATTTCTTTGTCCTTTGAGTTAAAATTTGATCATTCTCGAATCTTGTTTCAAGCAACGTTTATACAGTATACTTTAACCATCTTGCAGCATGTAGCATGCACAATTTATCACATATGCAGTACAATGTATTTTGTGCATGACTGCATCACAAGACAATCGTAGAGTGCCCTTTCTAGTTATGTTTGTAACATATTCGTAACTATATCTAGTCTAGATCAAAGAACTTATTATATCTAGATCCTTCGCGGTAGATTATACTGATTATAGAGCTTCTCACTCGCCTAAGCGTCGTGACACTGTAAGTCTCTATTTTTGTGCTTTGTGCATAAACTATCAACGAAGATGCTATATTCTGTGTGCACTGCTAAGCTGGACAAAATGAACCAACCGTTTTCAGTGTAGCCTGAATTTCAAACTCTGATGAGATTTTCAGTATAAGTTATCGAGAGTCTACCATATCGCTGTCATTTCTGATGTATATTTGCGTGTACCATGGCCAATTAAACTTGACGAGACCGACATACAATATCCGCGGTGTAAAGTATGTGGGGTTTATTTCTTGCTCGGCTGTGTCACAGCTCGAGTGCGGATGTGACAGCAAATATGCCCCCCGAAAATATATGGCTCCCCGAGCTAAATTCCATAGGAAATATGGGCTGGGAGGCCAAATTTAGGGTGGGGGGATACACCCTTTCGTTCATAACCCCACGAATAACACCATTGCTTGGGAGCCTCGATATATTGGTCATATTGAATCAAGACTCCGTATTCTGAAAGCTCACTCACACTCACACTCAATGAGTGGAGGTTCAATCTGAGCTTCTCTTGAGTGTCACTGCTGTTTTTGAATAGCTGTAGGGTTAGTGTCGTACCTAAGTATGTGACTACTCGCCCTCTAGCTATTCAAAAATTAAACAGCATTGACATTGAGTGTGCGTGAGCTTGTAGAATACGGGCGTAATTGCCGTAAAAACAATTTACTCGCGATTCACGAGAACGAGGCTTCCAGGACAAGGATAGTTGTGTGACGTATTATCGAAAAGGTGTATTTCCTGGGACACTGGCTCTAATGCACAAATATAGTCTGAAAACTTAGTATGTCGTTTGGCATCCGAGACACGCATTCAAAACCAGAAGAGCCTCACGGACTGTAGTCGCATGCACAGAACCACTAATAAATCAATAAATCAACGAAACATGGAAGCACACTATATCAAGTATTTTCATTCAACTTTCTGCTCAGGGTCATTTCATATATATAATTACAAGTTTTGTCTACGATTGTATAAATAGGGTCAAACTACATTCAAACATGAAACCATAAGAAAAGAATATATAATTTTATCCGCGCGTCGCATCATTTCACACTCGGCTTCTTGTTATATTCCGTAGTCAGGGGGGTTGTGCCAGTTTCAATATTTTTTCCTTTATGCATAAATTTTCTCAATAGCAATTTTAATTCTGAAAGCAATGCAATTTCCTTGCTTGCGCAAAAGTGTCAAATACTGTATACTCGCATGTAATATACGCTCATAACTTCACTCAACTCATTTTACCATGTAATCAACCCTGAAATCCTACTCTTCAGAGAGGTTATATCATACACTCAAAGGTGTTATTATACAAGTGTAATAGTGTCTAGCAAATGGTGGCCAATTTGGACACTTATAGGCGCAAGAAAATTAAACTACCGGGTGTCAAAACTGGACAGTGTTTGATTTCATGTAACGTAAAAGCTATAAAAGCTATCGCAATGAAATAAAGATCATTGCATTCAGAAAGGTCTAACTTAGATTTTGATATATAACACTTGAATTTACATGCAATATTGACTGCGCTATTGATGTTTGAACATTGAACTATACTGTTTTCGAAAATGCAAAAAAATTAGCATAAAACAAAAATAATAATTTTTTTTATTTTGGTCAGTTTTATCTCGCTCAATAATGCATGTAAATTCAAGTGTTTTATATCAAAATCTAAGTTAGTCCTTTCATTGCAATAGCCTTTATAGCTTTTACGTTACATGAAATCAAACAGTGTCCAGTTTTTTTGAGGAATTTTCTCTCAATTATGTCACTAAATAAAAGACTACTCCATATAATGAAAAGAGTGAACATTATTTTCTCACTCTGATAACTGCAGGTTGACCAGCATCTGCTGCACGATAGTGCTTATATAGTGAGATCGAGGTGTTAGTAGCATTCTAAGGAGAGTTCAAAGAGAGCCTGTTCGCAGGCTAGTAGCATTCATTCATTCATGTACTTATATATAAAACTATCTTCACTTTTCAGATATTCGAGTTTCTTTCATCTTTTCGTGTGATACCTGCGTAAAATGAACAATACTCAATAATCTCGCAACTCCAAAATGTTCAAAATGGTTCGCTGGACGTTTAAGGAAAAACGCAACTTAACCCTTTTCGCGTTCTCTACGCGAATGTTTTTTATGGGGGTTGAGTACGCAGTGATATTTCCTTCGGTGTGGCTATATTTAAAAATATTCCATGTCGATTATTGGTATTTGGGGTTAGTGTTATCCGCTTATAACATGGTCGGAATCGTTAGTACTGCATTGGTTGGGCGTTTGGTGGATATGACCCGAAAAGTGAGGTTTACAGGATTTCTATGGAATCTGGCTGAAATTGCGGGTAATTTTATATATGCAATGCCTTTCTGGGTTGGGTTACCTCTTATTGGTCGCATGGTCGCCGGGTTTGGTGAAGGCTTCATATCAGCTATGTGGGGTGAGCTCGCGAGAGTCACCACCAGAGAACAGAGAACACGCTACTTCACGATCCTAAAAGGCAGTAACCTCTTAGGGGCCGCATTGGGCCCTGCGTTCAATTTGTTTTTGAAGGAGATCAATTTTAATATTGGAGCATGGCCGATTGACTTTCGTACCTCGCCTGGGTTTATCATGGGTTTAATTTGGATTGTTGTGACCATTCTTATGTTAGTTGCTGTTTTTGATCTCTCGTGGGAACTGAAAAACAACCCTGACTATCAGTTGCTCATAGAAGAACCAGCGAGCAAATTGAAGAGAAAGAAGAAGCCTAAACATAGCCTTACCTCGCCAGAAAAAAGCCCTCGAATGATAAAAAAAGAGCCCATGCAGTCGCCAGGACATAGCCCTCCCGCGCCTAGAAAGGAAGTGTTCCCCACCTTGAAACAACGTTCCCAACCCCAGCCGGAGGATTCGCCCAAAAGGACCATTTTGGACATGGCGGACGAAGCAATAGCTTTGAAAAAGCTTCAACAAGACGAAAGCCCAGCGACCGAGCCAGTAGAAAAGTCTGAAAAGTCTCATGAAATACAAGAAGAGCCTGAAGATACAACTACAAAACCGTTGCCAGATGAACATGAAACCGTAGAGAGCCTTCCAAATGAACCCGGTACTCCTCAAACCCCTGAAAACAAACGAAATCATTTCGAAAGCTTTGATTCAACATCAGGCAGTGATGCTGAAGAAGCGTTAGATATCGAAGATGCAGACAAAGCGACATTTAAAGAAGCCATTCTAGACATGTTTACAAAATTCCATGTCGTCGTTATGATTTATCTTCTCTTCTTTATGTATGTCATACACACCTGTCTTCAAGGAATCTCGCCTCTCATTGCTGAGAACATGTTATTCTGGAGCGAAACACAAGTCAGCATCCTCTACACGGTCTGGGGACTGGAAATTATATTGGTTTTAGTGGTCGTGTGGCTAATCGCACCAAAAGTCTCGGATCGCATTATCCTCATGTTTGCCGTGATATGTGGCTGTGGCTCATCTGCAAGTCTTATTGTACTAAGTCATTCAGAAGCTGCTACTGACCTGTGTTTATATAGCTTTATCGTCACAATTCTGCTGGCAGGAGCAGCCATCTCAATCACAGTGGTCATTTGCAGATCCCTCGTCTCTAAGCACACCAAACCTGAAAACCAAGGGCTAGTCCATGCAATTTTAACGTCGTTTAATCGTGTTGCTGGCTTATCAGGCCCTATTTTCGGAAGTAGCTTATACACTCGGAAGGCAACCATGGGATGGATTCTTGCAGTTTTACAAGTGCTTGGTTTAGTATTGCTTGTACTTGCTTATAAGAAACTTAAAGTAGTGAAGAAGGCCGAAAAGGTTAGTTCCTAGCCTTAATGTCTTTGAAGTTTGTCTTTTAGCTTTATTGCTTTTAATATGTAATTAGTTGTAGTGCTCAGTTAAAAAATTAGCATATTTAGCGCAGGGTTTAAACTGCAGATCGCAGGATGGTGCTTTTGATTGGGATAAGGATCTCAGAGTCACGGGCTCGATGTGAGCTACGTTTAAGCAGAGTTTTGGTTTAAGATTTCATTGTCTCAAACAACGCATAAATAGCCGAAAAAGCGAGCTTTATTATTTCTTGAATTAACATACAGTCTGCAGTGTAACCCTCTGCTTTATTAGAACCAATTTCGATAATATGAACTATTTTATAACATTTTACACTTTTATTAAGTCTTAGCTTTTTTTACATAATGAATTACAATTGTCAATATAATTTCTGTAATTTGTAATTAATGAATGAATTTTGTTATTCAATAAGCTTTTGCAACTGGCCTAAGAATACTTCGCATAACAATATCTAGAGGGCAAGAAAAATGCTGGGTCTTCGCCCTGTGTTTATAAATCCCACAGTTTCCATGTTTTCCACTCACTTATTATTCTCGACTATTGTTAATAACCTGTGATGTAATTTGAAATGACGTAATTTTAAAAACACTTGTTATCAATTATAACACCAATCCTTTTACAGTTTTGGATTACTAAGTTGTTGTTTTATATGAATACTGTTGCGGTGATAAGAGTGCTTCCAGTTTGATTCTAGCAAACACCACAGATTTTCTTCTGGTACTTGGGTGTCTTCGTGTTGTAACACTGGATCGTCACAGTAAGTATAGGTTATTTACAGTTGACTGGGTGAACCTCGTAATTTATTATTACGAGGCCCACCTGAATAGACGCCTGTTCGCAGGCTAACCGACTCTTGCCTTGACTGACTCTTGCCGTTGACTCTTTTTCCATAAGTGTCATGAGTCTGGAACGAGAATCGAAGCACAATCTCAGGTGAAAGGCGCTTGCTCTCAGCCTCGTACCCAGGCGCTTTGATGCACTCATCGATTCCCGCGCGTGCGTCACGCAACCGCTTAGCACATCAAAGCGCCTGGGACGAGGCTACCTTGCTCTGACGATTACGCTTCCGAAACCTCTTTGTAACAGACGACCCTTATTGGACGTCAAGGGAAAATAGTTTAGAACTGAAAGAATTATCCAATACATTGTTTTAGTTGGTGCAGCCATATTTGCAACTTAGTCTTAGGAAGAACAGTGACAGATAATAAATGAAAATAAAACATTGTCTCATGAGAAACTTTCGTGTTTTTTCAAAAGCATTTGAAAGTATTAACTCTGATCAGTCAGTCGTGTTTCACTAACCTTGAGGCCGATTGATTGATCAGATTAAAACCCGTGAAATGTTCTTGACAAGATGAAGATTTGAGACAATGTTTAGATCTGACATTTGCGGTGTTTGAGAGATAAAATTACCTGAAAAATATACGCAGAACTTTGTTTCTCGCACTGTTCATTAGTAGGTGAAAACAACGGTAAGAGTTGTTGATTGAGTTGCTGTAAACAACATGAAGTAAGCTGTACATTACGTGTCATGGGCACTGATCAACATGGACTGCAGATATTTTGTCGACCCAGTCTTTTTGAATATTCAATTGCTCGGTTAAATTTTAGCAATAAAACGGGTGCGAAATTCAATCAAAGTTAATGACACATGTGGTGGTGGGGGGTGGGGGTGAGGGAGATTGTGCCAGATATGGTCATCCCACACTCCCTCGCCACTAAATCTGGTATTTTCTCTGGTTAGGCAACTTCCTGCCTTTTCGCTGCCGCTCGAGACGTCGGAATCCGTCTCTTACATCAGAGAGGTTCAGATTTGACTTCCGCTACCTCTGACTCGCGTAATACGTACTTGATTGGTTAATCTGACATATCGAATGCATCTGATTGGTTAATCTGACATATCAAACGCATCTGATTGGTTAATCTGACATATCAAACGCATGTGATTGGTTCGTAGTTCCTTAATAGTAGCGGTAGAGGAAGCAATCTCGACTGAGGAATATTAACGTCAAAATTTTCCTACAAATCATGGGTTTCACTAAGCACTATCGTACAGCAGATGCTGGTGAACCTGCTGTTATCAGAATGAGAAATTAATGTTAATAATTCTTTTCACCAGTCTTGTATTTGTAGGCAAATGTATTAATTTGAGAGATGTAGTTTCATTTCTTGCTCCTGTAATGAGTGTCAATATTTATGAAGTTGACGATATAGAATCAATTTTTACCCTTTTCCATGAGTTTAAATGCAAATTTTTTTGGTCAAAGCTTCACTTCAAATTTGCATTTTATAATGGACTTTCCTTGATTCACTTCACTGCTTTTAAACGCTACACTTTCAGCAGATTAATATTGTGTAATTTGGATTCCAACGAATATGATACCGGTTTGACGTTTGGCAACTGATATATATCTTCCAGGGTCTCTAATTGGTGTGTTTTGGTGACCTATTAAGCCAACAGAGCTTCGCCATTGAACGCTGTGAAATACACTTCAGGTACGTCAAGCGTGTTAACCAACTTTATTATATCATTTCTTTTACATTATTGTAAGGTTTTAACAGCATATGGTTTAAACAACATCTCTTCAGTTTCCATTGACTTTCTAGCTTTTAACTAGGGTCTCCAAAAAGTACCGTGGGTGTGGCAACCTATTTTTGTGGACGTGATCAAAAAATATGTTATGTTTCTCGATCGCCAGATGGATTAATTTTAGCTAACTAGCTAACTGTATAAACCAGGAAATGGCCATATAAAATAAATTCCTTGATTCTCATCACTACACTTTGAAAATGTCGAAGAGGCGGGAGGTTTATATTTTATATTTATATAATTTATATATCAATATATAAAAGTGTCACAAACTGAAATAAACATATTTCTCCACGAACAATGACTGAACACTTGAACTGAATGCGAAGTTCCGTTAAAATGCAATGAAATTTCTTTGAAGGTTCTATTTGTTTGAAATTGGCAGTTTAAAATGGCACTAAAAACCCAATATAAAATATAGAAAACTTAACTGTCTTGAAATATTTTGTCGGGCGGTACATTTATATTGTATAACAAAATATAAAAAGATTTCACGCGGCTCTTAAAATACAGTCGGGCGGTGATGAGAATCAAGGAATTTATTTTATGTGGCCTAAAACAAAATAATTTTGAGAGGTTCGCCACAAAGATTTTAGGTTTTGAACGATTTTCATCACAAACACGCAACATAGAAAAAATTGCCTCTTATCGCATTTTAAGTGCAATTTTCTTTTTACGGATGTGAACATGTAGATGAATCATGAATGTTCAGATGAGGGGACATATAGACTCAGAACATTCATAACTCATCGCATTAGAAATCGCCAGCAGAAATTACAAGTGTAATTGGAAACATAACAAAAAAGAACATATTAGAGCTTTTTGTGGCCAATGACATGATTTTAAGGCTAGATGGACTAAATTGAAGAATTACATTCACTGGAAATTCCAAAGAGTCGAAATGAACTCAAAAGAATCGGACTCAAATTTGACTCTTTTCGGCACGAGTTCCGTTTTACACTCGGCGGGGAAACTTTTTTGTGCATGATCTGACAGGACGCACCGGTCCATTGAACAATATGACTGCAAGTCGAGAGATAGAGGCCCTGTTGACTGGGCGTTAACTAAAAGCATTCGTCTGTTTGTAGGATGTAGACGAGACGTCGATGTATCGTGCCCAAAGTATATAGGTGAGTAGATTATTGCTAGCATACTTCACGTCCAACACAGAAGCATGTTTCTTTAAGGCCATCGTGCATCGGTTAGCCGCCGACACAATGTTTTCTGCAACAGTGCGACTTGCATGTATGCATGCAACACGATTTCTGACATAGAGCGATGTTATCTAAAACGTAGTCACACTATAGGGACATTGTGAACATGGTTTATTCTACCGACATTCCCATCATAATGTCCCTGCGACTGTGCTTTTTAGATAACATCGCTCTGTGTCAAAAAATGCAAGTTTCAGAAGCGTGTCGTGCAAGTTGCAGGAAAAATTGCATCGTGTTTAACATGGCGTATAATTGAGTTGTTGTTTGAATTTTACTTCAGTGAAGAATTGTTTCAATCAGATCATAACTTGACATCTTTTTTTCATCACAATCATGTTCAAAAGAACATTGATTTCTTCTTGGAAGAACATTGATTTCTTCTTGGAAGAACATTGATTTCTTTGACATGACTTCGCAAGTTCATCCTTAATACTCAACTCCATAACGTTGTATAGTATTCATCGCATTCAATCACTATTGTTTTTTCTTCCGTCTTTTTGCTTAAAATGATAATGTGTTTATTGCTAATGTATATGCAATGACGCATATATAATGTTACGTCTTGTGCATTCCTCGTGGAATATATAATTTTCTATCGCCCCATTTTGTCCTTTTTAACAGCAAGTTTGATCGTTTTGCACAAAAAAAGGCTCTACTCATGTAAAAACTTTTATAAATTCAGACCATTTTACAAAGTTTGGAAACTGAACTCGTGATGCCAATCGTTTTCAAAATAAGCAACTAGCACTTGCCTGGCTACCTGAATATTTCATACATTCTTGTGTTTAATACAGTTCTACAAATAGAACGTCTTTGGAGGGCCATGTGGACATGTCGTCACAGATGACTTCGCGGCCCATCCTTCACAACTCCTCTTTCAAACATTTTTCCTCTTTGACAGCAAGTTCGATCGTATTTATCCATAAATTGTTTCTAAATAGCAATTTTAATTCTTTAAAAGCAATGCAAATTCCTTGTTTGCACAAAAGTCTCTGTATACTAGAAAATCTCAGTCAACTTTTATTATATAATCATCCCTGAAATCAGTTGAATAGTGTCTAGAAAATGGTGGTAAACTTCACAAAATGTTCAAAAATAATTAACATTATTACATAGGAGAGAGTGAGATACTGAAAAATACACAGTGAGATATTTTCCATATCTTCACTAGTGAAGATATCGATCACGTGACTTTTTCCAATTTGCTTTTGAGCGTGAAATTTCACAATTTTTTGCTTGGGACTATATAATAAACAGAACATTACACGGTGGCTTGAAGATATGACTTTTATCTTCTCGTGTTAAAAACAATATTTTACTCACTCGCTGCGCTCGTTTGTAAAATATTTATTTTCACCACTCGAAGATAAAAGTCGTATCTTCGCGCCGTCGTGTAGTATCCTCTATTTATTGTATTTACTATGACCTGCTATAGGAAATTTTTGGCGTTGATATTCGCCAGGCTGGAAAATGAAAGAGGCGATTTCCGTTATTTCCTCACTCTGATAACTACAGGTTGACCACCGTCCTCTACACGATCGTGCTAGTAGCGAGATCGAGGTATAAGTAGCCTTTATTCATGTACTTATATTAAACTATCTTCGCTTTTCAGATATTCGAGTTTTTTAATCTTTTTGTGCGATACCTACGTAGTGAATAATCTCACAACTCCAAAATGGCTCGCCGAACATTTAAGGAAAAACGCACCTTGACCCTTGTGGCGTTTTCGTTGCGAATGTTTTTTATGGGAGTTGAATACGCGGTGATATTCCCCTCTCTTTGGCTATATTTGAAAATATTCCATGTCGAGTATTGGTATTTGGGGTTAGTATTATCCGCTTATAACATGGTCGGAATCATTAGTACTATTTTGGTTGGGCGTTTGGTGGATGCGACCCGAAAAGTGAGGTTTACAGGATTTCTATGGAATCTGGCTGAAATTTCAGGTAATTTTATATATTCAATGCCTTTCTGGGTTGGGTTACCGCTTATTGGTCGCATGATCGCCGGGTTTGGTGAAGGCTTCATATCAGCTATGTGGGGTGAGCTCGCGAGAGTCACCACCAGAGAACAGAGAACACGCTACTTCGCGATCCTAAAAGGCAGTAACCTCTTAGGGGCCGCAGTGGGCCCTGCGTTCAATTTGTTTTTGAAGCCAATCAATTTTAAAATCGGACCATGGCCGATTAACTTTCGTACCTCGCCTGGGTTTATCATGGGTTTAACATGGATTGTCATGACTATCTTTATGTTGTTTACTGTTTCCGATCTCTCATGGGAACTTAGAAACAACCCTGACTATCAGTTGCTCCTAGAAGAACCAGCGAGCAAATTGAAGAGAAAGAAGAAGAAACCTAAACATAGCCTTACTACTTCAAAATCGCCAGAAAAAAGTCCTCGGCCGATAGACAAAGAGCCCCAATCGACAGAAAAGAGCCCTCTCGCGCCTAGAGAGGGCGTCATCCCTACCTCGATTCCACGTTCCCAAAAACCGTTGCCAGATGAAGATGAAAAAGTTGAAAACCTTCCAAATGAAACCGATACACCGCATAAAAACAAAGGAAATCCCTTTGAAAGCTTTGATTCAACAGGTAGTGAAAGCGAGGCCGAAGAAGCGTTAAATATTGGAGAAACCGACAATGTAACATTTAGGGATGCACTTCTAGACATGTTTACAAAATTCCATGTCATCGTTCTGGTCTATCTTCTATTCTTCATGTACATCATCCACACTTCCCTTCAAGGCATTGCCCCTCTCATTGCTGAGAACATGTTATTGTGGAACGAAACGCAAGTCAGCCTCCTTTACACGGGCTGGGGACTGGAAATTATATTGGTTGTCGTGGTCATTTGGCTAATCGCACCAAAAGTCTCGGATCGCGCCATCCTGGTGTGTGCCGTGATATGTGGCTGTTGTGCGTCGGCGTTTTTTATTGTCATGAGTTATGCAAAACGTGGCAGTAACCTGTGTTTATATAGCTTTATAATGACAATTCTACTCTCAGGAATTGGGATCTCAGTGACGGTGGTGACCGGTAGATCATTGGTTTCGAAACACACCAAACCAGAGAACCAAGGGCTAGTCCACGCAATTTTAACGGGGTTTAATCGTCTCGCTGGTCTAACAGGCCCCATTTTCGGAAGCAGTTTATACACCAGAATGGTAATCTTGGGTTGGATTCTTTTAACTGTGAAAGTAATCGGTTTAATTTTGGTTTCAATTGCTTATAAGAAGCTTAAAGTGGAGAAAACGAAAAAGGAAGTAAAGAACTAGTTCTCAGACCTGGAAAATAGTGGGTTTTTGATGAGGACCCTGCAGGAAATTTGTCTTAGCAAGAAAATTGAGAGGAATATTTTCAGTTTCACACATACGGTATGTGAGAATCTTATAATTCAGGAATCATTATATCATATTTCCTTATCTGTACATAAATACGACCAAGTATACTTTGTTCAAGGGCAAATACAGGATCTGGGGAACATTAAACACTTTTTCAGATCTGGTCTTGGCCATAAATTTATTGATTTAACAAAATTTAGTTTAGTCTTTATAGTTGGAAATAAGAAAATAAATATCTTAGCACTGGGGTCTTAGTTCAAAATTAGCATTTTTAGCGGAGAGTTTAATTAAATTACAGGCTTTGCAGGTCACCGGATCGGAAAATCAATTATGCATAATTTAAGATCAATAAACTCAATGTTTTTAACAATAAAAATGTTTTAAAATGTTAAAAACATGATCTTGAATTGTGCTTAATTGACAGAAACTTTAATTTATAAATACTAAAATTTAATCTGGGCAGCCTGCACTGTAGTTTAAATCTCTCCACTTTTACAACCAATTTAGATAATATATTATATAAATTAGATAATATATTATATAAATTAGATAATTCTGAGGTCTTTGGACATAGTTGATTTAAGTTGATTTATACCACTCTCCTCCGCAGAGCCTTACGAATTTTTAGTAAAATTGCATAATAATAAGGGGGGGGGGGACAAATTACGCAAGGTATGATGGGAAGACGGAAGCTTCCCCCCGTCGCGCACCACTAAATATCCTCTACTATCCCTACAAATCCTATATAATTCAGACTCTGCAGAGGAGAGTGGATTTATACTGTAAACAACATGAAGTAAAGAGGATTACATGGCCACTGACAAGACGGACTGCAGATATTCAAAAATAAATATTAATTATTAAATATGGTGAATGAATGGTTGTAAAAGTCAATTTTATTACAAATTTTAAAAAGAATATGCTGGGTTTTATCAACAATATGCAGGTAGTGTATGCTAGTTCATCTTGCATTTTCATTTTTTTTATTTATTTTATGACATGCCAATATTTTTTCTAAATTGATATACTGATCTATACTGTACCAACCAAACCTTATCTTGCTACTACATACCATACTGTACTCAAACCATGTCATCTCAATAATGCCATCAACCATACCATTCTATGCAATACCCCACCATACTTTACCATCCCATCCTATAGTGCCTTAATATGTACAATACCTACATACAATACCATACCACACCTTGAGCAGACAAATTGAATCCTTTTATTTTTCAGGTAGTTGCATCCCTACCAATGAATTAAGCTTGTTATCATACCATATCTTACCAAAAACTGTCTTTGCCAGTGTAGGTAGTGCCAATCAAATGAACAAGCTTTTGTTGGTAGGGATGCAACTACTGTACCTGAAAAATAAGGAGAATTTCATTAACTCCAGATGAAGTGCCTTCGCTCGAAACGTCGAAATTCTCCTTATGTACTTTCAGGTAATGCATCCCTACCACAAAAGCTTGTTCATATCTTACCATACCAGTACCATACCATACCTTACCATAACATACCATACCTTACCATACCATACATTACCATACCATACCATACTTACCATACTATACCATACCATACCATACAATACCATACCATACCATACCATACCATACATTACCATACCATACCATACCATACTTACCATACTATACCATACCATACCATACCATACCAGCCATACCATACCATCCATCCCATCCATACCATACCATACCATACCATACCATACCATACCATACCATACATTACCATACCATACCATACCATCCATACCATACCATATCATATCACACCATGACATACCATACTATACCACACCATACAATATCACACGATGACATACCACACTATACCATATCATATCACACCATGACATACCATACCACACTATACCATACCATATCACACCATGGCATACCACACTATACCATACCACATCATACCATATCTTATCTTGTAATACCAAAGCACACCATACCAAACAATAACCAGCCACAAACTTTTTGTCAGGAAATTGTTGTCATCTTATATACATCTACTGCCATATAATTTACTTTAATATTGTTTAAAAATTCCAAATAAGATTGTCTTGTGCCAAGATTGAAATTTATCACAGTGTGTGGCACTAATAATATACGTTTTCTGAAATCTACACATGATTTCTTTTCTGAAATCGACACATGATTTCTTTTCTGAAATCTACACATGATTTCTTTTCTGAAATCTACACATTTGACTTACACAGGAAATTTTTATTTTTGGATTTTGTTGGCAGGTAGAGAAATATGTTTCCTAGGCCTGATGCAATACATGTGACCTTGTGAGTCCTCACTCCAGCATGTCTTGTGTCAGCATTGAGCACTAGGACACTGATGAGTGGTTTGCAGTCTTCAGATTTAAAAAAAGATAACAAAGTGACGGTCATATTGGTGCAAAATTCAATCCTGAACTGAAAAATAATGCTAAAAATAAGACTGAAATAGCTATTGAGCCGAATTTAAAAGGTATTTGGGCAGGTATTTGGGACAACGTAGATGAGTTGTGTGTTTGATTTACACAATACAACTCAAGTTGTAAGCAGGTTGCATGCGACAGTTTTAGGAAAAAGTTGTGTAGTGTAAATCAGCCTAGAGGTGCTTCTTCCACAAAATATAATCTACAGACATGACTCGGGTATGACTCGAGCTCTAGTCTAATTAGCTCTGATGCAGTCAAACCTGTTTCACCATTGGACACAATGCCTGCAATCTCTGACCGTGTAATTAGTTAATCATACCGCCGTATCGGCGTCTATGCCGAGCAGTAGACCGTTTCAACGACCGTAGGCATTTGGCAAATACCCACACAATCACACCGTCTCTACTTCAAGGCCTTTGTTGGTTCCTACACGCCTAAATGAAAGCCAGTGATGCTTAGCACTAAAGTAAATATTGCCAATAAGTTTGTTTTTTGCGGTATATGCGGGATTAAACGCTCCAGCGTAATCCCTAAATCACTCTACCGTAAAATCAATCTCCATGTGCAACAAATGCCAATTTTCCTTTGGGCAAAAATCTCTTTGCTATTTACTCGTTTCTAAAACAGTCACACCTAGCTGCCCTTTGGTAGCGGACGCAAAAATAACCCACCCTGTCAACTTTCCCTGTGGGAGGAAACCGGAGCGCCCGGAGAAAACCCACGACTTTCGGCAGAGCGTTGACTGACTCTTTTCACATGAGTCCGTAGCGAGAATCGAACCCACGACCTCAGAGGTGAAAGGCGCTTGCTTTGATGACTGTGCCGCCGAAACTTGTATGAAGTGCAGTCGCGGATGGCTTCCCTGGCGCCCAACAGGAAGTGATATTCACAAGTCTGGTTAACTATGGGTTAACCGGCTGAGATAAAGGGAGACGTCTTTTTCCATTTCTTCACACGGCAATGACTGGCCGTGCTTGAATTCATATATTTTTCATTCATGCATCTAGCGTGTGCCCCAAACGTGGAATCGTATATATTTTTGGATGGTTTCGAATAATCGCCCAACTTAGCGACCTTTCATTTTTCTGGGGGTGGCAGCTGCACCCTCTGTCCCTCCC